AAAAAAACATAAGAACGCAGGCAGAACGGGCCGTTCTGCTTGGAGAACGGGTCGTTCTGCTTGGAGAACGGGTCATTCTGCTTGCAGAACAAGCCATTCTGCTTCGTAGAACAACAAAAAAAAAACACTCACTACCTATACAAATAGAACAACCAAAAAATCGAATAAAACAGATAGCCAGAGTAGTAATGCTAAGTAGAAAAGTGCTAACGAAACCTTGTTTCATACCTGAGGAGCAGCAACAATGTGCAAATGAGTAACAAAGAGTTCATCCCTCTGCAAAAAATAAAAAAACGATTCAGTAACAAAGGAGAGGGAGAGGGTTTACAGAGAAAAAAATGAAAAGTGATGAATAGTGAATGCGCGCGATGTGCCTCGCTCTCTTATTCAAATTTGCGTCTTTTTTACGTCGGACCTGGTAGGGTCCGACGTAAAATGTCAAATCTACGTCGGACAAACATACCTCCGTCGTAGATTGGACTTTTTACGTCAGATCCTACCAGGTGCGACGTAAAAAAGTTCGCAAAAATTACAAAAATATCACCACGTTTTTTTTACTTCGGATTTTCGTATTTTCGACGTAAAAGGGGTGACGTAATATGCTTATTTTCTACTAGTGAGTTTTCTGATAAAATTTGGTAAACCATCTTTCACAAGTTGTTTGGTAGAATTTGGTAAACCTCCTTTATAAATTTTCTAGCAAAAATTGACAAACACTCTTTTATATATGACCCCTTCTCACTTAGGGTAAGGGTGATAAACCTCTTTATAAGTCGAGCGGTTATTCTCATCTTAAGAGTCTTTATTTATTAATTTAACATCCTAATCTTAAAATAAATTACTAAAATAAATATAATATATTTCAATTCTTATTAATATCATAAAAAATTAATCTTTTAAAATCTAAATAGTAACTTAAATATTTGAATTTGAAAATTTGAATTTTTTTTTCAACACTCAACAACTACCATCATCATAAACACCGCAATCATCACCATCACTCTCACCTTTGTTGTTGTTATCGTTGTCGTCGTTAACATCATCAATATTGTTGTTGTTGTCACTGTCATCGTCATGTGGCACTACTAGAAAATTTATAAATTTAAATATTTTTTGATTTTTCCTGCGATTTAAAATTGGCAGGAAAATCCGTAGGAAAAGTTACCTACAAAATTTTTCTACCATTTAGTAAACATTACTTGCGAATTTATTTTTGCAAGAAAATCTGCAAGAAACAAAATAAAATTCTTATAATATTTTTTACAAATTTTTACCATGAATTTTTTTTTTATGATCATTAAAATTGTAGCGAAATTTGCAAAAATTTATTGTAGATTATTTTTCATAAAAGAATTTGTAAAAAATATCTATAAATTATTTTTCGCAAATAAATTCGTAAAAAAAAATTGTGAAATTATTATTGCAAGAAAATCGTAAAAAAATTCTACGAATATTTTTTTAGAAAAATTCGCAAGAAAATGACATTTTTCTAATAGTGTAAAGGAATTAAGATTATGATAATTATTATATTGAGTTTTGCACACGCTAATTACAATATTTCATTTGTTCAATATCATCCACAAGACTATAAAACCTTTTAAAGGGAATTCAAATCTAGCTTTAAATATGATTTTTCTCCAACAATCTCATTTACATATACATGTCTTGATAATTGTAGTAAAAGTAATATGTTTTTTTGGTGTACACATTCTATTGACCATTTTATCCTTAACTTCCAAAACACTATTTTCTCTCCCATACTTTTTTATTTAGATCTTTTTCACTCCTTCATATATTTATTTTTCAAATATCTCACACCTTTTAAATAACTACTCAAAATCGATCACACTATTAAATTTTTCATTACTCGCACATATTTAACATTAACTATTTTTATTGTATATTTTATTTTTATATTTTACATATGTACCCTCTGGATCTCCAATTTGTCGAGCTAACCGATTAATGGCTCTACACGTCACCAACACTCGAGCCAAGAGGGCTATGTACCCTCCGGATCTCCAATTTACCGAGCTGATTGATCAATGTCTCTATGCGTCACTAACACTCGAGCCAAGAGGGTTGTGTACCCTCTGAATCTCCAATTTGCCGAGCTAACTGATCAATGTCTCTACGCGTCACTAACACTCGAGCCAAGAGGGTTGTGTACCCTCTGGATCTCTAATTTGCTGAGTTAACCGATCAATGTCTCTATGCGTCGCCAACGCTCGAGCCAAGAAAGTTGTGTACCCTCCAGATCTCCAATTTGACGAGCTGACCGATCAATGACTCTACGCGTCACTAATGCTCGAGCCAAGAGGGTTGTGTACCCTCCGGATCTCCAATTTATCGAGCTAACCAATCAATGTCTCTTTGCCTCATTAACGCGTAAGCCAAGAAGGTTGTGTACCCTCCTGGTCTCCAATTTGCCTAGCAGGCCAAATAGTACATACCTTCCTAGTTTCCATCCGACCAAACAACCCAAACTTTAGGATAGTCATACTCATAGGTGTATTGATGAGTGAGTTCCGGTAAAACTAATCAAGGTTGTGATTTCTGTGATTCTTGCGTAAATTTGATTACGATCATAAATGAGGTTCATAAACTCATTATAGAGAGGGATCTGTGAGCATTTAAAGGGATGAGGATCAAAGATCTGTAGCACGTATATGAAACCCATATAAATAAGGAGAAAGGGGACTGGTGAAAATCAGGTTCTTTTCATTCTTGAATATTCTAGGTCAGGACGACGGCTAAGTTCTCTTAAGGTTCACATCACTAAGGGTTTTCCGGCTGCTATCCCCTTACTGGAACAACATAAAATTCACAAAGGCATGAAATACCATTTTATGATAGTTTATATAACGATAATTGCTAAGATATAAAAATTATTGTAAAAGTGCATTAAATATAAATTATTCTTTTTTTCCTTTTAAAACTAGTTATATAATTGGTCTTAAAAATATAATTGGTTATTAAAATTTAAAACTGGTTATTATATAAATCATAATTGATTATTAAAATTTGGTTATGTTTAGGTTATAATAACTACTTGTAGATATGATTATAAAATGGTTATGGTTAGGTTATTTAAATATCCTAACCATGAGCATCCCTAGTTGATAACCAATTTATCTTATTACTTTGTCTGGTTGATGTCACTCACGGGTAATATGAGAAATAAGGGGATATACAAACCCCCATATATAACACCCATGTGTGCACTCCACACGTATCTAGGCTATCAACTCCTTAGAGTATTGTTACCAATTTATCTTAAAACAATTTAATAAACATTATATACTTTTAATCAAATAAATATTATTATTTATAAATGACGACAAAAAAGGCTTACATGTTTTCGCTTTATCAGGTCAAGTTGTTTTCAAAATATTTTAGGTCATCTCATATATTTATTCCAAGACCAGTGCTAGACCACCTAAAATAAAAATGTAAATTGTTAAATTCCAATCCAATTTAATATAGCTTAACTTATAAAATTTAATATAATTTGACTATTACCTTAAACTCACTAGACATCCAAGAGGAATGAGTGGTCAAATTGGTGGAATTAACCTTTTGAAAACGTTCTCATGCCCATAATTGCATAAGAATGACCAATCCACCAATTGTCGAGGTAATATAATTGTTCGATGAGCATAACTGTTGATAAAGACATCATAATGCCACAATACCCCATGCATAATTCTTTATTGCATCAAAATTACATAAGGAAAGTAATCTCCTCAAACTTATCAAACTGTCAATAAATATCACACCTCCAATATATCACAATATTCATGGTCTTGCAAAACGTTGCAAATATATCACAATAAAATGTACATGTCTCTTGTCTCCATCTCTCTACCATGTCTTATATAAGACCAAAACTAACTCTAATAAAATTAAGTTTGAAAATTCAACCAAACCCACCATCATCTAAAAATGGAGCCATTTGATGTGGAATTCTCTATTGAGAAACATGTTTAGACCGTAAAACAATTTAACATTATATTAATTAGTTTCTCATTAGAGATAGCAGAACTATTATTTTTATAAAAAAAATCAAATTCTCAATTGTTAGCATATATTAACTTATTGAACTCTGACTCCACTTTTTCTAAACTCTTTAAAAAGAAAAGTTATGGGACAAAAGGTAACGTCACGTTGATCAACAAAACTCTCATTATCAGTATATTATCAGTCTTTCGGGTAGATAATGAGAGTGTGAAACCAAGATTTACACTGGATTCGTATTTGTGCCTCTTCCTTGATTGATGTACATTTCGGGCTCAAGAGCCAGTGTCCACATGGATGCTACTGGTACGAACCATCCAGAGCCAGCAGACTTGAGAAAAATCAACCATTTACCTCATCAACATACAAATACAAATGTGTAAAAGCCAGTAGTTTTGTTAAGATTCATTATAGGAGTTTTCAGATAATAACACGTCAAAAGAGATTGCTTTACCAAATTTTGAAATGATTATAATATCATATTGTTTCTTAAAGAATAAAATAACAGTTGAATCTGAATTCAAAAATCACATGGTGGAAAGACCTAGATTCAGAAACATATTCACTGGTGATATAACCAAAGCAAGCTCTAGGTTTGAGGGTTTTTTTTTGACAAGCCAAGATAAATTTATTAAAAACAGCAAAAGAAAGCCAAATATAGGCATAAAGAATGCCATGATTCAGCATACCTGATACAAATACTGCCACAGAGAAGAAAAAATAGACGCAGACAACAACACCTACTAGAAACAAATCAATAACACATAGTGAAAATCTAACAGGAAAGCCTCGGCTGCAAACCATGAGACAACAAAATCCCAGCGAAAGGTGGCTAGGAAGAAATTATTATATGGTCCAGAACCAAAGGGTTCAATGTGACCTTTTATTTATTTATTTGAAAAATTAAAAGTGTTGTTATTTGGCACGAAGAGATTGATTATGATCCTGGACCGTGCAACAATTTCTGAGAGAAGGTGGTATGATCAGGTGTCGAACAACTCAGGAAGAAGCTGTTTGCATAGGCCCATGTAGGCAAAATAAACAAGGCGATCTTTGGCACCAGTACGATGGCAATCGGTGTGCTTGCAGAAGTATCTGAGTTGTTTAATGGTGCAACAACCCAACTTTTGAGCAAGGAACAAGAACAGCCAATTGATGGACTTTTTCTTGGTGTCAGCAAGGAGTGGCGCCACACTATTTTCTCTTCCGCAATGTTCACATGTTGGCAACTTGGGGTCCACCCATTCCCTAGGGGCTCTATCATGCATGCTTCCTTTCTTCTCCTCAATGAATTTCAACACTTCATCCAATTTGTTCTCAAGATCAAGTTGCATCTCAAACCTTTCACCACACCTCTTGCACTGAACACTCCCCGTTATGGTAGTAATCTTGTTTTGCAAGAGGTACCTTCTGTTCCGGATCGTGGCTCGCCTTACCGTGGCCCAAGGAAAGGGTTGTGGTATGGTTTCATGCTTTGCATGGCTGCGTGCACGACGAGAACGACCATTTCCATTTCCATTTCCATTTCCATTTCCATTTCCATTTGCATGCACGTTACCTGCAGGAGGTGAGAGACTCAGAAAATCTTGTGTGTTTTGCATTCCTTCTCTGATGAGGCTCTCCAAAAATTATTTCACTTTGAGAAGTGAGGAAAAGAAGATATGTCATTGATTCATATATATAGAAAGATATATGAGAGATATGGTTATAAGCTGTTATGGATCGGTATATGTATATCCGAACAACACTCTCAACAGCAATATCTTAAAACCCTGAGTTTCTGGTCTCTAACTAACTCTTGTTTTACCTTTTTTTTCTCTATATTCGCTGCATGTAACTATGCTGCTCTTAGTCTTCTCTTACTTCCTACGGTATTTAATCTTTTTTCTTTTAAAATAATAATGGACAGAAGCCAAGATCAATTCTAAGCCTTTTTTTTTCTTCTCAAATGAATATTAAAAAATACAAAAAAAAAGTAATCAAATTAACATAAAGAAAAGTATTTTTGTTTTATTGGATAATAATAATAATAAAAATTAAGATGAGTGTGACTTATAAACAGTTCCTCTTTTGGCCAAACCTGCCATGTAGCACATTCAAGCATCTATTGTCGAAATGTTTGCAGCGAATAAATGGAACTGAGAAATTACTAACTCTTGAGATAAACTTTTTCGGTATATCTCAACAAGACTCGCGCGAATATCTCAAAACCCATAGTCCCTTAGTTTGTGAAGTGTCGTAACTCGATTCATCTCTGAGCACGAAACTTTCGGGACCTCAAACGCCGAGTTTTTACTTATTTTCTCTCCGTTCCTTGCATGTAACTCGGCCCTTATTTTTTTTTTTTTATTTAGTTCTTTTAAAATAATTTTAACATTTTACGTGCAATAGATAGAACCCAACTCTATGTTAGTCAAGTTTTTTTTTTTCTTTCCAAATTAATATTAAATAATCAAATTACACCAACAGAGCAGCGTGACAAACAGGTATAAGGTGTCAACAATGGGCTTTTTTTTTGCCAGTTTAAAACTTTAAATAAAATAAAAAAATTAAAATTAAAAGAACAAATTATTTAAATAATAAGTTATCAAAAATACATATTTTTTTGTCAGCAAGAATACAAATAAAACATGATGGCCCAAGCCGTTTTTGATGCAAACAAAAAAATGTTGAAGCCCAAGGCGTTTTGTGGTGTCTTTTAATGCACAAAAAATGTCTGAAATTCTAGACGGTTTTTCTGTATTTAAAATTTAAAAATATAATAGAAATGGTAGGCGTTTTATTTGTTTTGAAAAAAGAACACAAAAATAAGCCACGCAGTGTTGTGGAATCCGGGGGTCAGGTTTGCACGAACAGCACTAGGCCGAGAGTCGGGTTTATTTATTATACCTAGAGTTTTTGTTCTATTTTTTCTCTTTTGCTGGATATCCAGTTTGTGACGGATTTAATCCCTCACAAATTGCGAGGGATTTAATCCCTCGCAAATTGTGACGGATTCTACTTAATTAGAGTCATCACAGTTTGTGACGGATTTAATCCCTCACAAATTGCGAGGGATTTAATCCCTCACAAATTGCGACGGATTTTTATTAATTTCTAAACATTTATTGTTACAAATTAGTGACGGAAATTATATTGTTTGTGACGCCTTAATTCCGTCACTAATTGTGACGGAGAAAATAATCCGTCACTAAATATTTTGTGACGCCAAATTTTGTGACGGAATCATTTCCGTCACAAATTCCGTTACTAACTTATTTGTGACGGATTTTATGAAGTTTAGTGACAGATTTTTTCCCTCTCTAATTTTAATTTTTCTAGTAGTGTGGTGGCAACAATCACAACATCGACGATAGTGGTGACTATGGTGATAATGGTAACAACAACGGGGGGTGGTGATGATGATGGTGTTCATGGAGGAGAGATCATAGTAATAATCTTATAAGTTAGTATTTGTAATTAAGAATTAATTAATCTCAATCATTAATTATTTTTATCCATATATAATAAAATTTATTTTTTAGTCTTTTCGTCTCTCACTATAAGACATAGAGTTGCCAAGTTAAGCACCGTCCAAAAGATCGACTCAACCATGTTGTTAATATGACAAGGTTGAGCCTTAATAAAGATTATTTAAATAGAATCAAGCTAGTTTGATCGGACTCGCATAACCCAATAGACTAAATGGGTTTAGGTTAGGCTGACCCACAAGCTTTAAGCTAGCTTGAAATAAAAATAAATTAATAATTTAATATTAATAATAAATGTTAAAAAATAAATTAAAATATAATAATTGAAAAATATAAACTTTTAATTGTACGGTTATTCTTTCTTTCTATCATCTTTGAAAAATAATTATAGAAAAATAAGTTAAATTTCACTCTTGATTTTTTTGATGTAATATGTAATTATATATATATATATAGAGAGAGAGTTATAGTTATAAATAACTTTTCTATATCTTCTTTATTCTAATTATATAACAATTATTTTACAACCTTCTAAATATAAAACATTCATATTTCCACCAAAATGAATAAATAATAATAATAAATGTTGAAGTTTTTTTAAAAAAACATATTTACAATTTTTATTATATTTTTATATAAAATTATTTTAAATTTTTTATTTATTTTTAATTAAGGTCAATTTTGTCTGGTGGATCGATAACTCTCACATGGGATGGGTTGGGTTTAAAATAACAATATAAAAGTAACATAAGTCAACTTAGTCAAAGTGTAAAATCATCATTTGACAATTCTAACAAGACATGCCTTCATTGGATATTCTATATATTATACACTTACTATACAACTTGTTTTTATGTCTATTTATTAATCATTAATAAATAACACATTAGAAAGAAATAGTCACAAAAAAAACATTGTTGTTCAAGTATCATTTTCTATTTTTTTTTCTTTAATAAAAACTATCAATTCAATATAAAAAAAACCATGAGTAACCATATATACATATGATATTATTTTATTAATTATATAAACTAGAAATTAAGATGCATGAAAAATATCATATAAATTGTTGTAAAAATTAAATATCATTTTTCAAAATATATTGTGCATGTATTAGTAAAACTAATTTATACGCTAATTGAAAGTTTATTAGTTAGAATTGAAAAACTATAAATTTATAAGTTAATTGATTGAGTTGAAAGTGATTAATAAATTTAATCGATAAACTAGTTCATTGGGTAAAATAACATATTTATGCTTTTGATAATGAAAGTGAGAGAATAACATATACAAAAAATGATTTCTCTAAATTAAAAGATTTCAAGTAGATTAATGAGAATATAAAAGGAAAGATAAAAAAAGAAGCTAAGAAGTTATTAGTTGTAAGTTATTTCAATTAGTTTATGAAAATAAATTATAAGTTCCTAAAATATACTTTCTTACAAAAATAAACTTATTTTAGTTAAAATAACTTATAAGTTTGTTAAATGAGCTTATAAACTTCAAATGTCTTAATAAAGATACTCTATATAGGAAAATTTATATACTTCTTAAAATCAGTTCTAATATTAATATTAATATAAAAAAATACACTTATATTTCCTTAATTTGAAACCCTCTTGCCAATCTTAAAAATGATGGTATTTAGAAATGAAGATCAATGCGCGTTTTCTTCTCTAACTCTCGTTTCTATTTTTGCTTTTTTGATTTATGAATATAATTGTACTTTTTGCATTTGAAAAAAAAAAAAAAAGATTATGCACATGTACACTCACATGTTAATATACATCAAAGAAAAAGGAGGGGGGGAAATGTCATCATATAAGCATCGCATAAATTATGCTATGCTTACCTTTATTATCTAAAATTTCGCTAATTAAACACAAAGAAAATATTTTTTTTCAAGAATTGCTACAATGAGGATTTCTGCATTATATAAAAAAGAAAAACATATAAATAGATGAAAGGCATGCTAAATAAACGCTTTCTTGTCTCATTTTATCCCAACAAGTCACAACATATAATATATTCACACCACGCGATTCACAATTTTAAAAAAACAAAGGGCATCACCATCGTGTAATTAAAATAGTGATAAATAAAAAAAGATATTGAAAGCATTGATGGGAGGAATAGAAAAAGAAAAAAAAACGCAAAATATTTATAAGTGTTATTGAAAAAAAAATAATTAAAAAATATTTTTTATTTTTAATAAAGAATTCTCAAAATATTTATAATTTGTATCCAAAACCATATATATAATTCTAACTTTATGGTTTTTTTTATTATTATTATTTTGGGGTAACCAGATGTATGTGGTTTGCGAGAGCGTGAGTTAGAAGCAATGACAGAATATACGAAAACCGCGTCAAGTGCATGTGCTTTCAAGAATATCTCCTTCTTTTATTTTTTCATAATAGTTTATTGTTTTAGATTTTTGCTATTTTCTTACCTGTCATTTTTTTAATATTTATTTAACCTGTAATTCATGAGTTGATTACGCCTAAATGTGAGTTAATAGGTCGAATATCTCTTCCACTTATGTTTCATAGAAACCCAGCGATTTGACACGTATAGGAGCCAATTGCATTAGGATGCGCATATATTCTTTTTTAATTAATCATACTCTTATTTGTACATATGTTTTTATACCGATAATAAATATATTTATCATTAATAAATATATTAAATATTTTTATAATAAGTATCATTTTAAATTATTTTATACAAATAAAAAAATAAGTAAATGAAAGAGAATAATAATTTTATAAGTTAATATATAACTTTATAAATAATCTTTGATTTGTTAGATATTTTTTTATTTTGAACCAATATCTTAAGGTTTTGCCTTATATTAATTTGGTTATGTTAAAAGATAGGTGAAATCTGATCAATGATTATTTTCGTCAAGGATTTAATTTAGACATTGTTTAAACAATTCAACCTTAGATTCAACATATTAATCACTTATGTCTAAATTCTTGATTAATCTTTTTTGTTAGATACAATGTAACACAACAACTATTTTTTAGATAATATTAGGAGTATAACTGAAGAAAAAAAAATATTACATTAAAAAACTAATATGACATTTATTTTGGTACAATTTTTTTCTTCTAATACAATACATA